CGAAAAGCCTAGAAGAAAGATATGATGCTTAACGAGTTCCTAGAGGAAGAAAAACCCACTGGGCTACTCTTGCACGCAACAGGGAAAAATGGAAGATTTACTGGCACCCGCTCGAGCCGTTCGACGATCAACGGGACTACAGGTGACATAGACGAACATTCGTTCTTATGCAAACCACAATAGTGAAAATAAAGTAGAACGAATATCTAGGTTTGCACCAAAAGAATTATCCTACTTATGATACTACGCAAAGCTTTTACAGTTACACAACATATCATAAATTCTACTAAGTATTCAACTAACAGGCCACGTGTGGCGCAGTGATCAGAGGCGCTCTGAAACACAACGTGGAATCGATCCCCGCGCCCACGGTCCACCAAGCCTTCCATCCCTCCAGGGTCGGCAAATTGGTGCCAGACTTGTTTGGGAGGATAACAACACTGGTTCGATACATCGGTAGGCCACCGCGAGTCATTGTAAAGGAAAGATATGCATCCAATCACCTTCAAACAATGGTTAATGAAGTCGAGTGCACGGTGCGTCCCTCAGAGATTGATCAACGCCGAGAGATTTACCCTTTTATCCTTTCATTCACCTATATAACTATAAATGTTATAAACTATAGGTTATAGATGCGTCGCCTTCTTTTTCAACAATCGCGAGGCTACCCGAGATCACTAATCAGATAAGGTAAGAATTAGAAGGATAAAATTATAAGAAGAAAAATGGAATAATTGGACCTTAAGCCGCTATTATTACGTCCTTAGAGCACTTCAATCATGTGTCCTTCTTTAGTGAAAGGTATGTGAGAAATGGCCCTGCAGAAGGTGATATTGCCGAAACGTTGGCTACTGCTGTGCTGTATGTGTTTTTTGCACGGTAGCAAATGTATGCTGCATAACAACCTCGCGATTGCTGAGAAAGAAAGCGACGCATTTACAATTCAATGCCTAGGATAACAGAAAGTTGATCCTGGAAGCTATACTTATCAGCTGTTAATACCACAAAGCGATACAAAACCGCGAAAGCTTAATAACATCGTTCAAAGGTGGTGTATGCAGTTGCTCGACTGGAACAACATAGAAATGTGTGTTGATGGTGGATCTTGCTCCAACCCTTGATTCACGATAAAATTTCACTGTTCTCGAGCAGTAGTGCAGAATTAGAAATATTGCTTTCTGAACTCCATAAGGCTGTGAGAAAATGGTCTACGAACTGTTTCGGAGAAAAGCCTTATAATCACAAAGACGTCCGTTATGAAAGAGAACAGGATATCGTAGGTAAGCCCACCAACTGAGGAAAACATATCCTACGTATACTTGAGACACTCACTGAATACAGATAAAAACTTGAGAGCAGAACTCAGTGGAAGATATCGACCACTCCACTTACGCGCTCATTTACTTAACGCGTTATGCGATAGATTCAGAAGGAACGGTTACTGAAGCGAGCAATGTGATCTAATCGCCTAAACGGTCATGAAAACTTTAGCGCTGCTTCCTAGAACCCAGAAAAAACAATAGACCAGCAAATTACCAGTGAAAATGGACTTTTATGGAAAACCAAATCATTCCTTATAGTTCGTGACAACACGCAGGTGCTCAAGTGATTCTCACTTGGGTCAATGTTACAGCATATATGTATGGGAAAAGGAATCCCTATGGTTTCAGAATTATAAACAGCATACTTTTAGTTTTAAACGGTTGCGACCCTCTTCATCCACTTGGTCATCGTCTTCGTCTTCTTCATAGGTTTGTGGATCAAAGGGTTTTAATGCAACAGAAAAAAAATTCGGAATCTAAAATCGAGGGAAGGATTTCTGGAAAACGTTCAAATATTTATGGAACCAGACACGATCGATAGAGGATCAAAAAGAATTGACAACTTACCTTCATAAATTGGATACCATCGCCAAAATCACACTCCACTTTGCTCATGGAGGCCTAAAAATATACGAGGCTTTGACTTCCCTACAAATTTCAGCGTAGAACTCCCTCCCTGTGGAAATACCAGTACAGCTCTAACCACATTATGCTTCGTTTTAATAAAAGCTGCATAAAATCAAAAATCCTCTTAAAAATAGTCAACATCTAACTAAGCTCCTGGATTACTTTACTCTGCTGGGTTGCCTGACGAATCTTCAAACACTTACCTCAATTATTGTAGGTGGCAATTCCTTTTCGGGCACTTCCTCTTCCTCTGGGTACATTCGAATACCATGAACACTGTCGTCACCTAAAATTTTAGTGGTAGTACGGTCGATAACATACCATAACAAAAGGAACATCAACTGACTATGACACGAAATTTTTGCACCATAAAAATTTTCAATAAAAAGAAACTAACTTCTGTCAGACTTATCTGCATCGGACTCACGACCAGTTTTCTTTTTTCTCACAGCATCTCCTCGTTCATCGTCGGAATCGGACGAGGACACGTCAACTCCGAAAATACGAGCCGCAGTGGCTGACGAACAATTATCATCTTCTGTCTTTTGCTGAAAGAACACCAATACAAGACCACATACAAAAACGAAACGAAGAAAAATTTTACCCCACCTCATCCTCCGAGCTATCATCTAGTAAGCTTTTGCTGACCTTAGAAGGTGAGCCAACAGATCGTCCAGAATCACTTTTCTCTGATTCTAAACAGATCAACCAGAAATCAAGGACATTTAGTAGATAATTACACGATTACCGGCAATAGAGATCTGACATATAAGGAGAGTAACTTCAAAAAAACAAACATTTGCAGAATATGACAAGAAAAGTGGTATTCTCAGCAATGAATGAGTTTGCATTTGAACTGAATTAATATCATACGACAACGTAATCAATTTTCATTTACTGACTATGCCTTTTCCCTTGGCCAATAAAATACAGCTGAGAGAAAGGAGAAACGAAGAACACGCATGGTGTGGTGGTGTACACGTTAGCCCCCTAAAACGGTAATAGCGGGTGCGATCACCACCGCAGACACCTGCGGTTCGGAGTTTTGCAAATATCACAGCATCATTGAAGTTTTATCTCACGATATGTCAGAATATGAAACGACAGACTATACTCTTTACATTTCCTTTATAATAACTGAACACTTTATTCCTAATGCCGAGAACTGTTGAAGTTCGTTCGGATTACCATTATGTCGGCGAAACTACGAAAATGAAGTTTCCTCGTAATTTCGGCCAAACCCGATCTGATGCCTGATGATTTTGGTAATAAAAAATGCCAACAATTTGTGAAAACAAGGAAAGGATCTGACCAACATCCATTGAACGACAACATAATCCACGAAAGCCTTTGAGAAATTAAACCCCATGTAGGTGAGATAAAGCTGAAAGCTGTTAGCTTCAAATTCTCTAAAGTACATAAAACCGTTCACGCTCTACAAAAAGGAGATAATTGTGTCTGACAAAATCATCGGTAAACCAATAGAAGGGCACAGACCTTTCCCACTTGGAGCCTCTTGTGAGAAATCTTCATGATGAGATCGATGTGAAGGCGTGGAGTCAGAATCACGACTCACAGGATCCCTGAATAGGAAAATCAATAGGTGAGACCAGAATCTTCTTCGACAAATATACAGGGAAAATCGCTTGACAACCTTGGATCACTTTCGGCACCATTCTTCTTCCCGTCGTCATCGCTTATACTTCCTGAGTCAGACATCTACTAAAATGGCTTGGTGATAAGGAATACTTTTTACTGCTACGTGATACAACAGAAAAACACTAACTATGAAATGAACCATCATTTCCACTGCTTTGTTCCGAGGTAGTTCGACAAATTTATGAGCGTCAAGCCTGATGCAGCATGTGTAATAACAGGCGTTGCACAGATCAATCGGAACGACGTGTACGATTGGGAACAGCATGCCCGTCCATCAGACTTGTGTGAAGTGGAAAGATGTAATCATGAGCCGTTGTTCAGAGTTGGAATTGTTGTGAAATGGCCATCGGTGCGTTATATTTATGTCATTCCGAATAATAGTACCAATGAAATAACACAAGGTAAATAAAGTGAGGTAACGATATTAACTTAAATACTTAGTTGATCCGTCCTCACTGGTACTGCTAACCGCAGCATAATCTCCATTTTCTCGGAGTCTTGCTGGCTTAGTCATTGTGGTTCCTTGGGGTCACGAGGTCAGCTTGGCCAAAGTTTACCGCACGTCGTCGCCACCATAGTCAGTGGCCATCCTTGTAGATCAAAAGGAGATTTGCAACCATGCGTGTAGTTTGATACTAGGGCGCTGGTGGATCCTGGTATTGGTTTACTTTTAGCTGGGTTTCCTGGAAACATTGAACTCCTTCTCAGCTTGGAAGGCCCTGCCAAGGGGATTAGTCCCCCGCTGTACATCGCAGCCCGACACCCATCATCTCAGCCACGATAAGACAGCAAGCCGTTAGGAGGTACTACAACTACTCGTTTCCTGGGAATTCCATACTGTCACCACCGGGTTGTTCTAGATAATCGTCAGGGGAAGTCGGTGTCCATTGCGAACTGGTTCCCTACAAGATGACGGCGATTCTTGGCCGCTTAGCTTACGTTTCCTGTTCCAGAAAAACGGATTAAACATCGCAGTTCAACACCCAGAAACAACTAGACGCGACGATGAAGGAGAGGTAGTACTGATAAGGTAGTACTCAAACAGGGGATGTCTCACCTCATCCAGAATCTTCTAGCTGCCGACCCAACAAAAACACCTACTGTGGAGCAGACAGGGTTTACTTTGTTTCTTCTTTGTTGAAACACATCTGTATGTGTAAGTGTTATTGCATGTTCATCTGTTTGCACCTTAGAACAAGTTAGTCTTTCGACGAATCATTGTCTTCTTTCCGGACCGAGCTTACGTCTACGTTGTATTTTACACGTCAGCAGCCGAACACAATGAGGTTCCGAAGATGCGCTTTGGCTTCGATTATGGTTATCACGATGGTCATTCGCGAGTAATAAGCCATTGATTTCGTTACAAGTCTACCACAGCGGTCTATCCTATCCTCCTTGATTCATGCAGTTAAATGGTGAAGGGAAACACGAGCGCGGCGCACGTCTTCGTGACGTTGACGAATGTCCTTCACCCTCTACTCTTCAAACTTACTACAGTTCACTGTGATTTTGCTACTTAGTGGCACATGATTTCTTCCGTTCTGGGTTCATGCCTACTCGACTTCCAATTTCCTGCCCTGGAATGGCGCCAAAGTTCAATAAACATAACGAGTTTTGTCGATGTTAACATTTGTATCAATGTAACCTTTGTACTTGTGCCATTTCTAGGTCGGTCTTCGTACTTCACTGGATCGGTGGGCAGCATCCCCAGGCGTACTCACTCCTAAGCAGACAGTTAAATATTTGACATAGGTATTTTCTAGATTTTTCGTTGGTAAAATATGGAGAACGTGGTTCCTTTCACAGAACCTAGGTAACCGTAATGAGTAGTTTTTTAGATGACTGAGATGACACGAGGTTGGTGTGAACCTTCGTTTATTTCTGCTTTATTAATAGAAGTTCTATTAGCAACCTTGTGTCAGCTTAATGATCAAGAAAATTGTTACTGTTCAGGCAGCATCTAATGGCAGCGCCTTCCAGTCCTGAAAATCCTGTGCCAGAGAATAAAGTAATCGATGGAGACCGTATAGACAGAGGTTAGGAGATTCTAGGATTTCGTCTTTAATTAGTTGTAGTTCTTTCTGCAAGGATCATTTTCCTTCTAAGAGCTCCTCGCTTTCTTTTTTTTAAATAACACTGCGCTTACATAGGTGTCGGTATTGCAAAAGTACCAGAAGATGGATTTTTGTCCGAGTTATACGAGCAGATTTCTTCACTTTGTAATGCTCGTGTACCCGACGTGAGTAATCTTATGATTTCTGGGAATTGAAATTTCCGATGTTATCACTGAGCACTCATGTTTTTAGCGAGAAGTAAAGGTGGAAGATGAGGCACCGGAGGCCATGCCTATCTTCTGGATTAGCAAATGGGTGGACTGCTCCGATAAATATGGGATTGGTTACCAACTTTCTGATAACTCGGTAATTCCATATTTGCCAGATCGAACACGCTATTTATTATCTTTTCCGGGGACTAACGTAGTCACTACCACACCATGCTAGTCTCTCGTTTCGCGTTTCTCTCAGCTTGTTTTTTACCTACCAGTGCCATCAGCAATCACCGTTTTTCGCAAATATTTCAGCATCATTGTGGTTGATGGTGAGACATTTGCAAAACGTGGACTCCAAGTCAGATTAGAACCGCGATTACCCTTTCCTGGTGCTCGTATGTTAGCTGTTGTACCACTGAGACCATTGCTTTGCCTTTTTCTCAACCACTTTCTTACCTAGTGGTGACATTAAGACTAGGTTCAATGTCGATTTGTGCTCCTCAGATCATCCCAGTTGGCAGGCGATTGACGATGGCACCTTTAAAAAATGAAAGGATAAATCTCTCGGCGTTGATTTGTCCCTGAGGGATGCGCCATGCATTCGACTTCATTAAGCATCGTTTGGAGGTGACTAAATGCATATCTTGCCTTTACAATGACTCGCGGTAGCCTGCGATATATCGAGCCAATGCTATCCTCACAGACAAATCTGGTACCAATTTCTAGACTCCGGAGGGATGGAAGGCTTGGTGGGCCATGGGCACGGAGATCAAATTCAACGTGCGTGTTGCAGGGCACCTCCGACCACTGCACCAAACACGCCCGTTATGGCACCTTAGAGTAAAAAATTGACGGTTAGAAAAGGAAAGCAAGAGCCTCAGTGGTGCAGCGGGTAACACGTGAGGATCGGGGAAGTGTAATTGCGGGTTGGAATTTAGGTTGGCGTCCAAATTTAGAAGCATGTCAGCATCATCGGGGTTAAGGAAGTTCTCTAGTATATTTTTTAAACAGTTCATTTAAATACTGCAAACATCGATTTGGTCGAGCAAGTAACAACTGGAATCGGACGTTTACGATTGAAGGAATGTGGTTCATTGCCGGCTTTGATCTACAGAGAAGACCATACATTCTTCATGGTCATCATTGGAGATTTCAATGCCAAGATTGGACTAAGTAGAACGTCTGAATAACGTCACATTGGGACCTACGGATTAGAACGGGACAACATGGGAGGGGGAGGAAAAATCAGTAATCGCCAATTACACCATCCTCTCCTTGTAAATAACATTGTTCTTGTAACACTAAACATTAGCCAGGCGGAACGAATGTTTGCTGAATTTGATAAGGCCTATGGAAAGATTGGTCTTCGGCTCAATCTCACAAAAACGATGTTCATGAGGAACGGATTGGTTTCGTGTGCCCCATTCACGTTCAACGGAACGGATATCTCCAAATGCTTCAGTTATGTCTATCTAGGTCGGAAAATCAACACGATGAACAACTGAGCTCCAGAACTGAGCACAAGGAAACGAGCGGTTTGGGAGCTTTCAAGAGTATCGAGGATGTAGTGAAGAGAACAAAGAACACCCAACTCCGTGCCCACCTTTTCGACTCAACGGTACTTCCTGCCCTAACGTATGCGTCAGAAACCTGGTCGCTGCGTAAGCAAGATGAAAGATCACTCAGCGTTATTGAACGCGCAGTCGAAAGGACGATGCTACGAGTATCTCGTTTCACACAAGGGAAGAGATCCGAAGCTTCGACCTTCGTCAACGATCAAGAATCAAAGATGCCGTTCTGCAAGCCGAACAGTCAAAGATAAGGTGGGCGGCACACGTAATGCGTACAAACGACCACCGATGGACAAGAGCCGTTAGCGACTAGATTCCTCGGGATGTCAAACGTACTGCAGGAAGACCACCGACCCGATCGTCAGAGTTCTTCACGAAAAGCCTAGAAGAAAGATATGATGCTTAACGAGTTCCTAGAGGAAGAAAAACCCACTGGGCTACTCTTGCACGCAACAGGGAAAAATGGA